AGAGTATCCTTTGTCTGAAATGCTTGGAACCAGAAGTGTTTCAGATTTCAGATTTTGAAATACAGGTACCTGTATTTGCATGTATGTCTAAACATGAGATTCGTTTATGTTTCATATGCACACAGCCTGGTATTTTTAAATAGTTTTGTGTACATTGAACCATCAAAAAGCAAAGGTATCACTATCTTAGGTCCCTTCTACACTGCCATATAATCCAGTTTATCAAAGTAGATGATCCACATTCTCATCTTTGAATTGGTTTACATGAGTCTACACGACCATATAATCCAAGTCAAGTCAGATCATCTGGATTTTATATGGCCATGTAGAAGGGGTCCCAGCTAAGGGATGCTCCAACTGCACGGAGCCACCCCTATTTATTAATTCATAAACTAATAAAAACAACTCAAAAGGAGAAAGGAGTGGAAGTGGAACACAAGCACAGGCACCACCAGAAGAAGATTGATTTATTTCATCCCTGCCATGATGTTCAAGATGGGTTTAGAAAAGGCAGGGAAACAAGAGACCAATATCCTCTGGATAATGGAGAAAGGCAGGGAGTTTTAGAAAAACATCTATCTCTGTTTTATTGACTATTCTAAAGTCTTTGACTATGTGGATCATAATAAATTGTGGCAAGTTCTTGGTGGCATGAGGATACCAAGTCACCTTGTCTGTCTTCCGAGGAATCTATATAAGGACCAAGTAGCAACAGTAAGAACAGACCATGGAACAACAGACTAGTTCAAGACTGGGAAAGGCATACAACAGGGTTGTATACTCTCACCCAACCTATTCAACTTGTTTGCAGAATACAACATGCGATTTGCGGGACTTGACGAATAGTAGTTGGAGTTAAAATTGCTGGAAGAAACATCAACAACCTTAGATATGCAGATGATACCACTTTGATGGCTGAAAACAAGGAGGAGCTGAGGAGCCTTCTAACCAAGGTGAAAGAAAAAAAGTGCAAAAGATGGGTTGCAGTTAAACATAAAAAAACCCAAAATTATGGCAACCAGACTGGTTGATAACTGGCAAATAGAGGGAGAAATCATGGAGGCAGTGTCAGACTTTGTATTTCTAGGTGCAAAGATTACTGCAAATTATAGCTCTTGGGATTCCATAGCATTGAGCCATGGCATTTAAAATAGTGTCAAACATTATTAATTCTGCAGTGTAAATACATCCTAAGTCATGAACTCTACTTAAGAACTGAGCAGGTTGGATGTGTTTGAGGTGACTTGTAATGTTTGGGAATGTATAAACATTAAATATCACTCAGTGGCTAGTTATCACTAGTTGCTTCCAGTTTTCAGAGGTATTATGTATGAAAGGATTATGTCTGGCAACAGCAGGGGCTTAAGCCTGACTCCTCAGTCTGTGGTAGCTATTTCAAACCTCGAAAGTGTCACTTGATGTTGCATTTGTTAAGTGATAATCTTTCAATGGGAGATGATTCTTAGACAGAATTGCATTATGTTTTAGGACTCCCATGAAAGACTCAAAAATTTCCAGAGGTTTTGTTGTGTCATATAGTGCTTACTGTTGTAATTGAATAAGCTAGCATATGAGTGAATTAATCAACTTGGGTTGGATTCAAACCGGCAGTGTGAGCCTAACTCAAATAAATGCCAGCTGCAGGGGAGTTAGGATTAGGCCCACATTTCAAGCCTTTCCTGCCAACAGAAATGCCTCCTGTCAGTTTGCTGACAGAATATGCTGTTTACAATATGCCAGTGGAAGAGTCCAAGCTGGGATACAGAAGGAGGAGGGTTAGGGGAGCAGCTGAACTGCACCAGATCCCAGTCTTCTGTAGTATATAGACCCACCCAGGCAAATTGCTGACACAAAGTTAATTCACAGGTTGAATGCACTCCTCACTGATTTCCAACATCCCTAAACTGGCTGAGTTTCAGATTCGGTAGTTTCAACTGGCTTAGTGTCAACTTAACTCATAGAATCATAGATTCAAAAGAGACCATAAGGGCCTTTCAATCCAAACCCCTCCCACACAGAAATATACAATCAAAGTACTCCTAATTGATGGTCATCCACTCTCTATTTTAAAATGTCTAGAGAAGAAGACTCTACCACATCATGAGGCAGCATATTCCACTGACTAGAGAATTTCATGCTAGAATGAAATTATTTTCAAAGTTGTGTGGAATCTCTTTCCCCGTAACTTCCATCCATCATTCCATGTTCTAAACACTGAAGCAGCAGAAAAGAAGCTGGTTCCATTTTCAATATATATATTTTCTTAAATTATTTAAACACGGCTATGATGTCACCTCTTAACCTTGTCTTCTTTGGACTAAATATGCAGCTTCATAAGCCACTCTCCACAGTGTATGATTTCCAAATCTTTTGCCATGTCGGTCATCCTCCTCTGGACACATTCCAGCTTGCCCATATCCTTCTTGGATTGTGGTATCCCAGAACTGACCATCATCAGTATGATTGCCTTCCAAATATAGGGTCTTGGGGGTGGGTCTGTTGGGATCGTAGATTCTTGACTTGCATGTTCTTCCACAGTGAGGACATCGGTTTCCATAGAATCACAGAATCATTGAGTTGGAAGAGACCTTGTGGGCCATCCATGAGAAGCAGGAAAATTGCATTCAAAGCACCCCTGACAGTTGGCCATCCATCAGGGGTGCTTTGAATGAGATTTTCCTGATTTCCAGGTGGAAAGAGGTCCCTGTCAGGGATGGCTTGATGTGTCTTCCTCTTGACATGTTTTTTTCCCTTTTGCCTTCCATTCATTCCTCTTTGAATTTGAAATTACGTTGGGTTACATTTCTCTATTACTATATTGCAATCATGAGATTCATCTCACCTGGTTTTAATGATGCCTATTATATTATTGTTGCTTTGTTCTGTTAGAATTCATCTTGTTCGTTTCCGATGGTCTGTGCATTAGTGCAGAGCTATCTAAGGCCATGGGTCATTTCTTCTAGCTGCTTATTCCTGACCATAAGCTTTTTATTTCCACTGTTGGGTTCCTGAACTATTTACCACTTCTCTATATATCAGTCAGAGTATTATCCCCAACACTTGATTAACTCCTGCCCTCATAATATTGTCTCCTTCCACCATACAACTCAGTTTAATGCCATCCTTATCAGGTTTGTGAAAGTCTTAGCAAAAAAAATTCATCCATTTGCTGAGATGTGCAACCCATTACTTGCCAGAAGCCCAATGGCATTAAACTACAGCCCATGGTCCAAGTACCATGATAACAGTTGTTCTCCTTTACTATTCTTCTCTCCCTTCTTGGCCCATGATCTTCAGTTAACAACATATGTCAACATATGTCAACATATGTCATTTGTTTCATTACCCCTTTTGATATCCTGAAGTCTATGTCTTGCAGTGCTGTTTGTTGACCATGGAGCAAAAGAGAGGTTTAATGGTCAGCAGGCTTGATGAGTTTTGCCAACATTTCTTTAATAATATTGGCCAGTTGGAAAGATTATATTCTTAGCTATTGAAATAGCAGACCCATTGAATGAATATGCCGTAGATTAGTTAGACTTTTCACAGGCCTAGTCTGAGAGTTTGGATTCAACCCACAGCATTTTAACAGGACTTATTCAAAGGGAAAAGCTGTAATCTTAGCATTCTGTCTTCATTTGAAACAGTATTCACTTGCTGCATTTTTTCCTGGCAGATTTCTTCTGGCTGAAGGAAATCTGGACAAAGTGAATGGCTGATTAAAGAGCTCCACAGTCACATTTCTTCCTTGTGAGCAGCTGGTGGCAATGAGCTGTTATTAATTTTATTATGTACCTAGTAGTCACTCAAAAGCTCATGGGCAGGGAGCTTAAAATAACAAGGTGTACAAAGGAGTGCCATCTTTCTCTTCCTTTAACCCCCCCCCCCCATTTTTTTTGTTATTGCCATATCATCAGGCAGAGCTTCTCTTCACTCCTTCCCCTACCTCCCCCACTTTACCTCAGTCACCCCCCCCCCAATAAACTGCACAAAAGAGAGTGGATAGTCATTCATTGCAAACATACCCCAAGAAAACTGTTTCAGGAACTGTCAGAGATGTTAAAATAGGTAAAATGGTGTTGCATGTTTCTTAGCTTTTGAAGGGTGGGGGCAGTCATCATAACCAAAGTAAAATTGCTTGGGAGTTGGCAGGGGTGGCTCAACGCATTACGCAAAGTAAGCATTTGCAGTATAGTTGATTTTGCCCAGGGGCGCTCTTGAGGCGCTCTTGGGGAAAAATAGACCTTGACATATGCGAGTTGTAGTTACTGGGATGTATAGTTCACCTACAATCAAAGAGCATTCTGAACTCCACTAATGATGGAATTGAACCAAATATGGCACACAGAACTCCCACAATGAACAGAAAATATATATCAGTGATTGGTTGGGGGGGGGGGCAAAATACTGTTTGCTTACCGTTGAAAATTACCTAGGACCACCTCTGGGAGTTGGTGAGGTCAGAGGAGACTGCCTATTAGCATCACAAGATATCCTTGCAAGGAAAATATATTTGCCAAGCACAAAGCATCAGGGCTCAAAGGCAACATCATGTGTGCCGTTTGAAGCGTTGAGGATCGTCTATTTAGCAATTGAAACCATAGCATTTGATCCCCAATAGTCTGGTTTTATGTAATGTCTTCCCATCACACATGTTTTGTTCATCAGTCTTTCCCCCATTGTTGCCCGCATTTGAACCATCACATGGACCAAACATGTCCCCGCCCTCTCTGTGTTTCTGTTAAGGGAAAATCTTTGAAATCCCAGATGTCCCAAAACTCACACTACTTTAGTAGAGGAAAATTCCATCTCCACAGACATCGTGATTGTGCAAGTCTGCAAGTTATTTCTTTCTCTAAAAATTATATTCTAATTAGCATTAGCAATGAGAAACTTCATTTTAGCTGTAATGGCCACAGAGATTGTGTGCCTCCTTTTCAGAGTGGAGATAGAAAGACTGAAGAGGAGAAATAGGATCCTTAGACATCGCACATCCCTAGTAGACAGTTCATTTGTGAGTTTATTTCCGTGAACCTTTCCCTACTCTCTTCTTCGTCTTCCTAAAGTGACCCTGCAAGACCTTGCATGATAGCATGATAGCATGGTATTTTGCCATATTCTGACGATAGGCTTCTCTGTTGATTCTATGCACTTCACTATTGCTTCTCCACGCTTTCCACCTTGGGTCTTTCTCCTTAAATCTTTTAACCTTGTTCCAGGTGATAAAGCTGCCACATTTGGAGAAGCACCTTCTTCTAAAAAAAGATAAAATAAATGAATAATAATATTTTGAGATAATGTTATAGGAAATTTATTTCAAGAATGCTATGTTCACCTATATTCTACCATAAAGGATCATAATATTTCTCATTACATCATTATCATTGCATTACTCTGACAGTGTTACAGATGACCTAGGTTCTTACCTTAAGTCATATCTCTCTCATCTCCTCTTTGCCCTGTTGCTGCATTGTGATCTGCAATACATGAATATTGAGGCATTGCAACATTTGGCCCTTGAGTACAACCTCTTACAGGAGTGGAAGATGGAGATTGCATCCGCGATGGTGGGATTAGCACTTGTGTAGTGTCAAATTCTTCCTCTGCTACAGCCTCTGTAGGGAAAGATCTTTTAAAAGTTTGTTTAATCTTATTTTGTTCCTTTCTGTCTCATAGAGAGAACTGTAAAAATAATTGACTCCTCCTCAGGTATGTCTTCACCTATAGGGAATAGGAACAAGACGATATGGTATTACTAATTTAATTCTCTGTTCCCAACATCAATGAAAGGTACATTTACTGTGTACCTAAACACAATAGTGCACTATACAGTAGTGCTATTCCTCCATTCCTGTGTTCTGTTGTTGGTCTTCTGGTTACCAGACCAAGGTTTTTGCTGGGGCTACTATTTTTTGTGGAGGAATCCTCAGTCATGGCCCAAAAATGCCAGTTGTGGAACACTGCTGAGGTTGATGGCCTGTTACAGCTTGCAGGTGCCAGCAGTCATTTAACACAACTGTTCCAGGCAAGCAACGGGAAACTCTATAGGAGGCTTGCACACAAACTGTGGGCCCTTCCACACAGTCCTACATCCCAGAACATCAAGTCAGAAAATCCCTGCCTTGATATTCTAGGATATAGGGCTGTGTGGAAGGGTCCTAAGAAGAAAGGGCTACCCCTGCTCAATTGACGAGTAAATGGAAGCTAATGTGCTTTTTTTTTTTTTTTTTTTGAGGCGGGCATGTCATTTCACTATTTGGTCATTCCTTCCTTTTATCTTGGGATGGAGGGACTGTGGGAGCAGGCAGGGTACCCTTCCTGGAGAATAAAAAATGCTCAAAATAATTAAGTACATCATATATCTTCGTAGTGCCCTTACAGACTTATTTCTGTTCATATGCCTCAAAACCACAAGTAACTTTCATTAATTACTATACCTTTTCATGTGAGGTCCCCTCAGATGGCCATAATAGAAAAGCTAAAACATTAATATTTTAAAGTTATTCATAATTAATATTGGATACCATGTGTGTTTAGCATCTCCTGCAAATTACTGGATTTTTAAAAAATCGATATTGTGCGTTTTCCATTTCTGTGTGTGTGTGTGTCACCACAAAACACACATGACCTACTACTGTAAACTTCACACCATCAAAGTAACTATTTTTAAGTTACTACTACCAATAGGAAAAGATAGGAATATGTCAAAAAAGGAAGGATGGTGGAGACTTACCTTGTGTTGTCCTTGTGTTCACAGGGGGTAGTGAAGGAAGTTCAACCATCAATCAGGAGACTGATGGAACAGACCAAAGCAATGGAAGACAGATGTAAGTAAATCCATAATCATAGAATTAACATAAATGAAGGAGTATATGGATTATAATGTTCCTTTTTTTCAACAGTGACAGTCAAGATTGAGAACACAGAAGCACAATTTATGTATATGGAGGAAAGGTTTTCTTGATTAGAGGAAGCAAGAGAAATGACATAAATTCTCCTTTTATTTTATGTAATTTATTTTTTCTGTGAGGACAACAGAATGGATTTTTTTATTTATGCTATTTATGATTTCTTGATAAATAATCTGCTGCAAAGGAAGCAGTCAGTTTTATTTAGTGTTATAAAATTACAGAGCACAGATTTTGTGTTGTTTTTCTGGCATGGGTTGAGCGCACATACAGCAACCTAGCACTTTTATATCATTTTAACTACAGACATGTGCATTTACAATCATTTGTTTTATAAAAATGTCATTTCTCTATCAGTTAAGGAGAAGTAATCCTATGTATGTTTTTTTTAAATGACCCTGCTGTTAGGAAAGTTATTATTTATTGGGAAGATGGTGTTGCAGTAGCACAGCTTATGTCACTTTGAATAAGCTGGATTTTTATGTTATGAAATCACTTTTTAAAAGCACTTACAAAGGAGCAGTTAAGAGCACTTATTACTGCATTGTGTCTGCTGCACATATACCTGCACAATACTGTAGAGAAAATTATTCTTACCTTTTTTTGTAAAAATGAATGTTTCTTCTAATGTATATAACTAAACACATATGTAATTCATGTTTTGTCCACCACATTTAGATCTTTATTGTCTGAAAATAAAATATTCTTGATGAAACTGCTCTTGTTTGCTAGTCATTTCCAAAGTATTATTCGATAAATGTAGAATAGTATTAAATCTATATAAATTATTACATATTCTTAAAGATAGGGGGGACATTTATAGTACTATTAAAGAGTCTCAAAGAGAATACCATGAACCCAACCTGCAATTGATTTTGACCAAGCACTGCACACTGACCCCACCTGACCAACATTTAATAAGGGTGACATTTTGGTAATCCTGAACTTGAATGTTGAAAGTCGTAGCTCCCCTACTTCCAGAGAGCAATGAGTATCCAAATGATAAAGATCTGGACCACACTTGGCATACAGACCCAATATGACCAGCATTTAAAATGTTTGTGGTTTGGGGTAAACAGACCCAGGGATTTGGAAACTAATCCGCCTGCAATCAAGGACCACTGTGAACCACAGTGATGAGGATGTGGACCACATTTGGCACTCAGACTCAACCAGAGCAACTTGTAATATGGGTAGGGTTTGGAGGGAAATAAATCCAGGAATTTGAGAATTGTAGTTCACCCACAATCAAGGACCACTGTGAACCACAGCGACAAGGACCTGGACCACATTTGGCACACTGACCCAACCAGAGTAACTTTTAATAAGGGTGGTGGGTTTTTTTGTGTCGGGGGGGGGGCATATCCAGGAATTTGGAAATTGTAGTTCAGTTCAAGTTCCACTGTGAAGTCAACCAGCAATGGAGCTGGACGCAACCCGGCACACAGACCGGCATGCATCAAAAATAGCTTTTTTTTTCCAAAAAAAGAAAACTCTTATTGTTTTCAATCACTATATAAAGTAGAGAATATACACATATGTATACCTACATTTTCCAATTTTCATATTATTATTTTTTGTGATTTCTAAATATAAATATACAGCAGAGAAAGAACAATAAGCTATAAAAGTAATGCTATCTCTAAATTGCACATTATCTTTCATATTTTTTTAAAAAAATTATAATAGTTTACAACTGACAAGAACAGCAACATACATGATTGGCCATATACAACACTTTAATGAAACTGAACTGGAAATTTTATATTTCTCATCCCACATGTTTTCCTCCAGCTTTGACAGTTCCAACCCATGCCAGGAGCTCAGAACACACAATTTCTCCCCATGTCCTGAACTCCTTCCTTTCAACACCCTTCTGACATGTTTATGGGATGAACCGTGACAGATGATTACTGGAAGTACACAACCATCATATGGGATCCGTGCCACTTAGTCCTTGAAACAGATTACCATCATGTAGAAACAGACAGGGAGGTAGATGTGATGAGGTCCTAGAACTCACAGAACTTCACTTCCCCTTGTTAGCTAGCTTGAGCTTTCTGGGAACTATAGACTTAAAAGGTAACTTTTCCAGACTCTGCTGAGGGTCATTTTATTTATTGAATATGCCATTGAGTTCTTAGATGAAAATGGCAAATGATATCTTTTTGGCAAATCCACACTGGTGAAGTGTTTAAATCAGGCAGCTGGAGCATAATGCTGCATTTGTGCAGTTCTGTGTCCTCCCACTACACAGCAGCTGTCAAGCCCCAGGAGATGATTTTGATACTGAGGCAACAGCAGCTTTCCCATGGGGTGCTGAGTGGACTGGGTAGGGAATTTAGAAGATAAGGATGTGACTGGTACCCCATATCTGTTGCACTGACAAAGCAGGAGGAGTGGAAGCAGCAGTGCTAGAACAAGTTGGTGACAGAGCCTCTCTTCCCAACCACATTCTGCTCTTGGGGATGAATTGAAAGCAAAAGAATGGCGTAGCCAGACATATGAATTCCAGCAAAATTAATCCTCTCTGCACTACAACACCCTGCTGCTCTGTTGTTTACCTGAAAACTTTATGTGTGTGTCTCTCTCTCCCAGATTTTATCCCAGCATTATGTGAGAATGAGTTATCATGCAACTGGCAATGGATCAGTGTAAGCAGTATTTCATGTTTATCACCAAGGTCAGGACCTCAATGCCAGATATATTCAGAAGGTCCCAGTTTCAATCCCCAGCTGTTACAAATTATGTGTAGACAGATAAATCCCTTCCCAGCTCATGCCAATTCCGCATGAGTTAATTCATATATCTATTTTCTCCCATTTCTGTGAACTTTTTATTTAAAAGATTATACATGAGGATGAGAGAAGCAGTGCATTAATTAAAAATATGTTTCTAAATATCTCAAATCTAAATGGATTCATTTTCTAAATGAATTTTAATTGAACTGGCACATGCAAAACCCTTACTGAAAACTGCATCACAATATTTAAGAAAATGCAATATCTAAATGATTGTCATTACTTCCACTTTTATCCATAAGGTGCAGATGAAGCCAATAGAGGACCATCAAGGGAGTGAAGATACCATCACCAGTGGCTTTGAGAAAAGAAGCAGCCTTTGTTTTCTTTGCTGCCTCTGGCTCAGCTCCTGGAATTCACTCCTTGCAGAACTGAGGACCTGACTCGGTGACTCTGCGAAGCAAGGCCCAGCTTGCCTCCAGAGACCGGGGCATAAAAGGACCACATCTGTGGGGGGCTCCGCCATAGAGGACCCATCCCGAGGTTAACAGTGTTTGCGTGTATTTTCCTAAAGGTGGGCAACCGAGACAGAATAGGGATTCTGTTGGTGTACCACCCACCCCATAACTTAACAGTCTCCCTTCCTGAGCTAACTGGGGTGGTCTCGGGGTTGGCGTTGGAGTCTCAGCAGCTAATAGTGCTGGGAGACTTCAACATCCATGCTGAGACTGCCCCGTCAGCAGCTACTCAGGACTTCATGGTCTTCATGACAACCATGGCTCTTTCCCAAGTGGTGTCTTGCCCTACCCATGCTGCTGGACACACTTTGGAACTTGTTTTCTGTGCAGGATGGGATGGTGGTGATGGTCATTTTCCCTGACAATAAAAATACAACAACATTAAATGATCAACTTTTTGCTGTTCTGTTAGATGTTCAACTCTACTTAAATGGTAGGATCAACCATTTACAAGATTTTGGTCTCTCTTTTTTATGTTGTTCTATACTCTGGATTATAAATTATGGGGGAAATAGGCAATGAGTTGTCTTGCAGGCTTGCCTTTTGGACAGGAAGGAAGTAAAAGCCTATTTTAATTCCATTTAAATTTGTCCAGACTCTGCATTGACTTGCTCCTAACACAATCTAATGTATACCAGAAACTGTTTATCCATTTTTACATATATTTTTATTTATGTTTATTTATGTTTGAAAGCCCAACAAAATAATTGTCCTAAATTTTTCTTAAACAAGTAGACTGCTGTTATTAAGGCAATGCCAGAAGCAGAGGCAATGAAATGCTAATGTTTTTCTGCACATTCATATACACTCACACTGGGGCCCCTCCACGCAGCCATATAACTCAGAAGATCAAGGCAGGAAATCCCACAATATCTACTTTGAACTGGAATATATAGCAATGTGGACTCAGTTCAAAGCAGATATTGTGGGATTTCCTGCTTTGATATTCTGGGTTATATGGCTGTGTGGAAGGGCCCTAACTGCAATCGACAGTACTCCTACCAGACCTGCATACATGTAAACAGTTTGGGTCAATGACTGGCTCTCAATGTCAGTTCCTCGCCTCTATATCAAGAATAAAGTTGATTTTCTTAATATTTTCTGAGTGCAAAGCATTTTTACTAAGCAAAAAAGGCTTTAGTTTTACCTTGATGATGGGAATTCCATTTGTATATTTGTGTGTAACATGATAATTTTATGTCTAGCTTGATACCTCAAACTCTGAAATATAAATTTGGTGTACATGCTGAGGCATGTACACCAGGTTCAGATATCAGCTCAGTTCCTTAGGATTTAAACACATCATTTTTCAAGCTTTATTTCCAAATTCTACTTTTCACCAAACTGTGATTGATCAAGGATTGCCAATAATAATTGCGCCCTCATTCATTCTCCCTATCTTTACTGAAGGGCCAAAAAGTCCAGGTTCCAGCTGACTGTGGATATGAGAGCTGCTCAGTTGTCACCTGACAGCAACACATGGCAACTTTATTTTAAATGGATTGGAATGATAAAAGGCAGATTTCCTAAAAAGAATATTCTTTCCATTCTGGTTTTCAAATTAGGTAAACATATATCTGAATTGTTCATTTTCCTCATATTTTCATTCATTTATCCAAAAATTTATAT